GGAGCAATCCAGTTATTTTAAGTTTAAATTATCGAACTTTCAATACCAGAATCTAATTGCTGAGGAGTAATCTGCAGATGATTATTAGGGAAAAAGAATTTGGGCAGTGTTCGAGCAAAACAGGCTCTTTACAGGCTATTCAGAAATGCATTATTTAAACTATTTCTACAGCTTCAATCCTAATATGAAAACCATGCCTTTGTATATTTGTGGTTTCATATTAGAAGTAGTGTTGTGGGCAGAAAGCTGATAATTTTGCTATGAAAACTGCTGTTTTTCCCGAGCCTTGAGCAATGTTTAAAACCGTGCTAATATTTTCATTTCCAGAAGCAGCAGTAGATAGACAGATCACATTTCCTTTATCTCCAGCTCATAATATTGAAGTGGAGAGAAATGGAAAACCAGGACTGGTGGAATTCAATGAAGAAATGCAGTATATGGATGTAGAGGAACCACAATGTAAGTTTTATGTATCTCATTATACTTTGTTTAAAATAGTATCTTTCTTTCTTCTTTAATGATGCACAGGAATTCCTCTGCAAATCTTTTCCAGCCATTTAAAAAACTTCTTGTCTCTTCAAAGTTGTTTCTCTCACTGGTCTGTTCACTATATGAGTTGAAACTTTTAACACATAAAGAAATCCCAAACTGCTGGAGAGTTTTGATCCCTAAAAGCAGAGTAGTCTTTATTTGAGTTTAGGAATACGGAAGATGGATATGGCACCTTTCTAACACATATTCTTACCTAACTCCAGCAGTATTTTACTTTGCTTCTTTACCTAGTTTTAATATAACTTTTCTTTGCATACCTGGCTTTTGTAGAGGTTGCTGATATAAACCAAGAGAATAATGAACAGCTAGGTAAGAATTCATAACTAGTCCTGTTGACTTTAAGCCACATCCCATTATCTGTGCCTCTTTCCATAATGTTTTGTTAACCAGCACTCTTCACAAAAGTCTCTTAGACTGTGAAAGGCAGTCAGAGTGAGTCTGAGTGAGGAGAGCTGCAGACTGAAAAAATGGGCAGTTGGAGTGACTCAGTTCCAGAGCTATGGTTCTTTTTCTTGGTCCTTTCTGCAGTGTGTCTTACTTTACACCTTCTTTTCTCTCATGTAACCAGGCTTATCTAGTTCTTTCCAACCCAAACCATTCTGTGATTCTATGACTCCAAGAAATGTGTAACAAAGGTTGAGGGGATGGGTCAAAGGGGCAATAAAAGTGCTGAGAGGAGCAGCAGATGTGTGAATGATATTTTCAATAATTTGAATATACCACAGGAGAAACTAATCAGTCTTCTTGTTTTATTATTCATTTTGTTTTGTCCTGCTTCAGTAAAGACCCAGTAAGAGTTGTGGATCTATATATATGGGATCAATATTTCATCAGTTGTGTATTTTGTGGCTTTCATAAGCCACTCAATAAACATATTATCCATATAAAATAATTGAAAATGCTGTGAAAACTGTCATTTACCTTTCTTGATTTCACTGGAAAATGTCTAAAAGTGAATCTCAAGTAAGTTTTGATGCAGAGTTATATGTATTTAGTGATCAGAGTTTGACATGGTGTATTTTTTAAAACAAGCAAATGATCAGATTTTGTGACTTAATTATAGCTAGTTCAGATCCATATTACTCATGTTTTTTCAAGGTCTTAGATTGTGTCCATTTCTGGAGGAACACAAGGAAGATATACTTTGTGGTCCAGTGTGGTTGGCTACTGGACTTGATCTATCAGGACATGCTGGAATGTTGACACTAACAAGTCCAAAGCTTGTTAAAGGTAAACCAGTTTATGCTATTTGCATGAAGCATGTGTGACTGAAGTGCACCTCATACTTCTGTAGTCAGACTTTGGTTTGTTATTTATTTTCACATTGACAAATTTTGCTGTGTAACATAATCGTGAGTTACCTTTTCAAACTGGTGATCAAGAACTGTAATTGAGCTCTACTTGTACACTATGTCTGTGAAGTTGAAATCTGTTTACAGCTTACAGTAGTAAATCATGAAAATTCTCTCCCCCTGCCCCTTTTTTCCCCTCATTTTTAGGTGTGGCTGGTGGCAAGTATCGTTCATTTTTAATTCATGTTAAAGCAGTGAATGACAGAGGAACAGAAGAAATCTGCAATGGTGGCATCAGACCAGTTGTTAGAATACCACCTCTAAAACCTCAGACTAACAAGGGTCATTCCCTTGCTTCATTGTTGGCAAAAGTTGCAGCGGGCAAGGTAATGAATAGCCAACAAAGACATCTGTGTTAGCTGTAGAATTGGTGTGATGTATGTGATCTGAAAACAAAAAAAGTTACAAAATTAAGATCCATTAACATTACTTTCTAAAGAGATGACACTGTTGACATCTTCAAGAATTCGAGTTCAGCATCTCTAAGTTGTTTCTTTTGTGCAAATTTAGTTGAAAAGGTCTGTTCTGGCACTTTCATGTTCTGAGCACTTGTTTTTGAAACTTCTGTTACACCTCATGGTCCTATGAAGATTTTGTGTGTGTGTGTGTATTTTAATCTTGATCACTGTAGTTTTAAGATGGGATAATACGAGGTGCATCTTGTGGACATTATTAGAATAATTAGAACATAATAGACTGCGGAATATAATTAAATTCATTCTTATATATTAAAGCAGTTAGTGAATAAAAGTCGTTTATTTTAGTTCAGTGCTCAAACTGAGCGATTTTACTCAACTGATCAAGGTATAAAAATGAATCAGTCAAAGCCAATGTGATTTATTATTTTTATTTTTTCCAAACACATCAGGAAAAGCCATCTAGCAAAATTGAAGCCAGTAATTCTTCCAGAAAATCAGATAATCTGCGCGGCTGTGACTTACTTCAAGAAGTCTCTGTAACAATTCGAAGATTTAAAAAAACTTCAATTTCAAAGGAAAGGTTAGTGGGTGTTTTTCTATTCTAAAGAAATACTCTCTTTAGTTACACTTCTCATAAAAAGCTCAGTTCTCAAAATAGCTCAGGTCAAGTCACTGTTTCAAGTTGTCATTTCATAAACTTATTTCATATGGAAAATGCTGTAAACTGTGAGTTAGAGGGCATTGTGCTTTCCAAGTTTTGCAGAGTAATACCATGCATGAAATTATATGTTGAGTGAATTTTTTTGCTTGACTCAAAAAGGCAAAATGGAAATAAATTTTCTTGGTAAAACAGATAAATTACCTGGACAGATATTTTTTAAAGGAAGAATATTCCTTTTCTGTTTCCACATCTTGTTTTGTTCCTTGCAGCAGAGATTGTATTATTTGTCAAAAAGTTCAGAATCAATTTTAACTAACAGGTAGTTACTGAAATAAGTTATTAAAGTCTTTGGAATGGTACTACAGATCTAAATGTAAATAATATAGTATTTAATGTGTATTACCAGCTGCCACCCCACAGTGGTGGCACACACTGTAATGAGCATAAAGAGGTCAAGGAGGCTGCAAAGAGGTATGTGCAAATGATTGCTAAAGACTGTTGTAGACAATGAAAGTTTGTTTAAGCTTAGAAATTGAAAGACAAGTTAATAGGAAAAAAAAAAAAACCCTGAAGGTTACTACATATATATAGTGATATAGGCAGGTCTGTGAGCAGAAAATAGGAAGATGGGAAATGTGTGCATGGGAAGTGCTGTATATGCATGTGTACTGGTTTTACTCTCATCTGGGATTCTCTTTTTTTGTGGCTCCTAAGACAGGATACAAAGCTGGAAGGACACTTTAATAGGGAGTGGCCATATTGGATAATTCTGGTTTTTATTTCCTTCCCCTCCTCTCTAGAGTTCAACGGTGTGCCATGTTACAGTTTTCAGAGTTCCATGAGAAGCTGCTCACCACTCTTTGCAAGAAGACAGATGATGGTCTGACTACAGAACATGCCCAGAGTCTTGTACTCGACACACTCTGTTGGCTGGCTGGGGTGTATTCAAATGGACCTGGCAGGTGAGGAAGGAGTTGTGTTAAAATTATCGTGGCTATTTCTCAGTACCAAGTCAGTTAGAAAAAAAAGAAGTTTTACATGGTTCTCTAAAGCATGCAACTTGTTTTTACAGCTCAAAGGAAGGAAACGACAGTTTGCTTTCTAAAACACGTAAATGTGTCTCTGATATCATACGTGTTTGCTTCTTTGAGGCTGGACGGAGCATAGCTCACAAATGTGCACGATTCCTTGCACTCTGCATCAGGTCAGTGCTAATTATTTACATGTATTTATTTTTATATGTTTATATGCATTTGGGGCATTTGCATGCTGACTGAATTGTACGTATATGTTTGCTATTGATTGAATTCATAAAGCAACAAGATCTGGAAGATCTTCTGTTCATGAAAACCGTGCTTTGGGTGTGACTGTAAAGAAGCCTTTCAGCTTTATCTTCTGGAGGAGATTTCAAGTTCCTTTCTCATTTCATTAAATGTTGAAGTGTCTGTGTGTTTCTTTGTAGCAATGGCAGGTGTGACCCGAGTCAGCAGGGGTTTGGATCAGTTCTTCTAAAAGCTTTGCTTGACAATATGCCTCTTTTGCCTGCTGCTGCAACAGGTGGTACGTATACAGTGTTTGTTGTCATAAACATACACAGTACAATTGTTGCATGTCATATTCTATTGGACTCTCTTGTGAAATACAAATTAGGTAATTGCTCGGTTAGTACAAATTGCTTCTTGGAGTGATCTGCTCTGGTGGTATCCAGGTACAAAGTATGCATTTGCAGATGGTGGAATTTTAAGCAAATGAGCTTGCTTAAAACAGTGCTAAGTCACTGACATTTTTGGAAGAGCTTAAGTTTTGTGAGAATTTTCAAAGGTGTTCAGCAGTCACACATTCTGTTTATATAGGTGACTGTCAGGATTGTCTGGTACTTTTGAAAATTAGAAGATTTATTCCAGGAAGCTTGCCTATCCAAATATGTCCCACTAGCAGTCCATTTCTGTTACTTCGGCACCAAAAGGAAATTTAAACTAACTTTAATTCCTTCCTTATCTACGTTGCAGACTAATGGTGTCTTAGAACCTTGTTGAAGCCTTTTGAGTGCCAGATGGAATGGGAAGATGACTTTACCCTCATATTTAGGGTGGCAAGACCTGCTTTGTGCTTTTCACACTATGACATTATCGAATTGCTTCTATCTTGGCGTCACCGAGGGGTCTTGCAGGAAAATTAGTTCTCATTCCAAAGGGCTTGTTGTACTTCCACCCAGGTAGAAACACTTAACACACTCTGTAGAGGGTATGGAATGCACAGAGGGAGGAGGAGGAAGCTGAGGTTTGTGTTTCCATGCAGTACCACCACACTATGCTCCCTGAGCTGATCTGTGTGGAAGCAGTGCTTCCAGCAAATACAAAATCAAGAGTCAGCAGCCAAAACCAGAGCATAAAAGGAGAAGAAGAGTTGAATCTAGAGTAAGGGTCTGATGGGATTGGAACCTCTAGCCTAGCACTTTAATATATCAAGAGCATTTTGTTGTAGGCAGAGAGAAGTGTGCAAAGCTGTCTCTTGGAAACCTTTATTCCTTCAATTATGTATTAGTTGATAAGAGAATTTGAAGTACTTGTGTAAACTAATGATTACAGAAAGATTCTAAATTGAAGTGCCTTAAAAAAAGGGGAAGGGGTAGAACACTTCCTAGTGTGTATTCAGTAACCATTAGATACTTCATTTATCAGTTTCATTGATTACCCTTCAAAATTATCCATCAAAGTATGCTTTCTCAGTGAAAAATTCATACCGTATTTCACCTATTTTTTTTTAATGCAGGTTCTGTGTATTGGTATTTTGTATTGCTGAATTATGTGAAGGATGAGGATTTGGCAGGATGTAGTACAGCTTGTGCATCATTGCTCACTGCCGTGTCCCGACAGCTGCAGGATCGCCTGACGCCGATGGAAGCATTGCTTCAAACAAGGTACTAAGAAATGTGGTGGTTGTACACATAAAAACAAACCTAAGAACGGTCTAGTGCCATCCTTAGGTGTTCTGAGTAAGGTTGGGTGTTTTAAAACAAGATGCATTTTGCCCTATTAGTTTGAGCAAGGATTCATTTGCTACAGCTCGGGAAAACAGTTCTATCTTGTGCAAAGTTAAAGGTGAATTTAATTGCTGTCTTGCATTTTAAATCAGCAAAGGTGTCTGTGCAATCCTTAAGTTAATATTTATCCTTTTTAGTGTAAGAACTAACAAAACATGTCCTAATTTGAGTATTGGAGGGAATCAAATACACTTAATAGTTTCAGTTCTACATAAAGATTTACAAAATTGTATTGTCTCTGGGAGCTGACCATACATTTAATGCATTCCTACTAAAGGCCAAATTCTAAGTGTACAGACTGGAGTAATTTACTGGGAGTGCAGGTTCTTATTTTAAGTTAAGTATCAGTGTAGTTTCAGACTGTGATGTTTCATCTTTTACATGTTGAAATGATTGGCTATTTAGGTTCGGATTTATGTGATACCTAGAGGAAGTCTCTGGTGGTTCAGTTCTGTAGCAGTTTGGTGCATTGTGGTGATGGGCACGTGCTGCTCTTAAACAGCTCTTGGTTTGGGTGCAAGAGTTTTCCTCAGAGTCAGGCAAGATCAAGGTAGAAGAGATTTGGTGGAGGTTAGTTCAAAATCTTCAGATGAAATTGAAAGTGTAGTAGAAAATGTAGTAAATGAAGTTCTGGAGGGGAGAGGATGTTTTTTTGTTTTGTTTTGTTTTTAGAGGACTATAACTCCAAAATATTTGATAAAAACTTATTCTCAAGTGTAATACTTGGATCCTTATTCTCTTCCTAGCTGCTAATTTATTTCACCATCTGTAATGCTTATGGTTGTTTATAAGAATTATCCCAGCTGTAGAAATGGTACCTGGATGATTGAGAGGTTTGAAAAATACACAGTGTGAACTGGAAAAACAAAAGGTTTAGTGTTTTCATCTTGGGCTTTCTTTAGAAACCCAATGGAGGAGAAAAACGTGAAGATGACACTTGACACGAGAATGGCACCTTTCTGTGGGAATTGACTTGTTCCTTCCTGTAGATTGTCTTTAAGTACCTCCTTTCAATAGCATATCTGAAATAGAAGGGTTTTTTTCCTTTCCAGTTGCCCACTTTTGAATTTGGTACATGTGACATTTCAGGTCACTTAGTGGTGTGCACAGCTGTCTGCATGTCATGGGAAGATTTGTGAAGTGAGCCCCTGCTTTTGGTATCCTTCAAGCTTAGGTTTTCTGAATGTTTCTAGTTGGTGTTATACTGATGTTCTTCTTGGAACTAAATTTACTGTCTAGCTGTCTTGCCAGGACTGACTATTTCTTGATTTAGTTTACTAATTTGAGAAAAGTTTGCAGGCCTTTCCTTCATATGTCTACCAATCAAGAGAATCCTGTCATTTCTGTTTGGTGGTTTTGGTATTTTGAAAGAGAAATTAGTAGACAGCCATCGCTTTACTCTTTTTCCCTTCCCTCTCTCTGAGTTGTATTTTATTGTATTTATGTGCATTTGTGTTGCAGAGTTTATAGTTTCGTGTTTTTCCTCTTTGTCATTGGTCCCAGGTGCAATAGCTTCACATCTGGTAGTCAAATAAAAGCAGATGTCTAATTAAAGGTTCTTCACATTCATGTTGTCTTCAGGGAGAGTAGTGCTCGTTTTACTATCATGTGCTGCAATAAAGCAAGTAAAGCTTGCAAGGATAAGGCCAGATGGGTGTGTTACATGATTTGCAGTTCAGAGAACAACATAAAAAGGGATTTCAGACAGTATTTTGGGCTGTCTTACAACAAAGCAGGTTGGTTTGTCTGCAGCAAGTCTGGCAAAATTTCTCCAGCCTGTTCTTGAAAGTATCTGATTCAACTAGTGGTGGAATTAAATTATTCTAAATACTGTAAGGTGTTATATGACTTAATTATTCTGATCATTAACACTTGACCTGTCTCCTGCCAACATCCAATCTGAAATCTCTTCTGCTGCGACTGAAGCCTTTTAGTGCTTGTGCCTTGTCCATGTTGGCAAGGGAAAGCAGATTATTTAATTCTTAACAAATTTTGGATGTCTAGAGTATGTATGTATCTTGATTGTGTTCTCTGGATCTGTAGTCATTCCAGTCGAGGTCTCTGAGTGAAGCAGAAGAGGAATTTCACATAGTTTATATTCCATACTGCATGGATGAGTAGGATGGTGGGTCTTTACATGACATTGTTGATTCATTCTTTGGGTTTTTGTTGATTTAACTTCTCTATCCTTTTGTGAAAAGTGTTGCTAGTGC